TGAGTCGAAAAATGCAGTAACAGCTGTTGTCTTTGAAGAGTTTGCAGGATTAACACATTGACGACAGCGCAGGACACATACGTCCCGCACTTTGCAGGCCATGACGGACAGCGCGGGACGTATGTGTCCTGCACCCATTACACTCATTTTTTCGCGCACGCGTGATTCTTTTAGAAGTTTCTTGTATTTATTCCATGGAAGAGACCTTAGCTAGCTACAAACATAGTGGCTCGAAGAATGGTCACGTATGCTTCAATTTAGAGGAAGATTTCTGAACGTTACGAAATATATCAGTTCAGATAATTTTTTGTTTCCCTTTTCATTCGATAAGTGTGAGGTTCAAAAGAGTGGTAAAATTAAATACGGAGCCGAGGAATAACAAGATATGTGTTTGATCGCAGCAATCCAGGTAGGACGGATTTTAAGGTCCATTGTAGATAAGTCTGGCAAATTTTGCTTTTTCATTCGTATTTCACATCTTTCGATCAAATTTCCACAACTGTACCCTTGGATAGTTTCTACTCGATGAAAGTCACTGAACTAATTTTGTATCATCATTATTTATGTATTTATCACTCAAAATCGCTTGAATGACCTGAGGCGGCGCGCTCGCAAAATCGCGCGGTCCCACGCGGCCAAAAAAGCCAAAACGCGCGTTGTCGTCAACGTGTTAATAATCAAAAAAACACACATAAAATTTTTGAAAGAACAATACTCACCAACTTTTGAATAGGATATCTTTTTCGCAATGGCGGGACCACGCGGCCGGTGCGGCACTCTGACTTTAACGAGCCTCAAATGCACTTGCCCCTCATCCCCATCCACGTAATACTGCCTACACTCTCCCTGGCCTCACTGAGATATAGAACCCAGAGGGTAATACACTCTAGGGGGGGGGGCTGTGTAAGGCAAGTCCCTTGCCATGTGTGAAAAAGCTCAAATGTCTTAAGTGTTTGAAAATATCTTCGCTCGAGTGAATCATCCGCTGCGCGAGGCCCGAGGTGCTGCGCCGCCGCATGCTCACCACCCCCAACCACTCAGCACGGAAACACAAAGGAATGACTAGAAATGAAGCCGTCAGCATTGAAGGACTCCTTGAGCGAATTGGCATTAAAGCAGATCATGCAACACTGTGACGGAAGCGTGCTGTCCCGGTATTTACCCCTCATTTAACCATCAGCTTTCTCGTACCGTCATTGAGCCGACCAAGACAAAAGTATGCGGCAAATCAAAGAAGGCTGTTTGAAGAATAACTGTCCATTATTAGGTCCCTTAATTCGCTGTCAACTGCCACAGCACAGCTTCTGCGCCGTCGACCTTCGGTGTTCACTCATCGCCTTGATCCACCAATCCGTCTCGGTCGGTCCCTGCTTAGGTGTGGCCCTCATACTACATCATAGCGTAAGCGAAACTATGCCCACTTTTTTCAGACAAAAATAGACTTGAAGAAATGGAGCTACGTGAAACTAATAACATTTTATGGCTCCAAGAATTCACTGAACAAGATTAGAGTTGCCGTAACTTTCTGGAAAAACTGCATTACGATGTCCCCCCTTACTGGAATAGACCCATATTATTTACTACATATGACTATTTTCTGTGAAATCACATATAATTCCATCAGCTATAGCTTTGTGTTTCCCTCTACTAGAGCTGTTTATTTGAATGTTTATGACAAATAAAAGGTAAATCTAAAAAGAAGTGAACTGAAGATGCTGTAGAGGTTCAGACAAACCCTTGCTAAACAACCAACAACTGACCGAAGCATTTCTTTGACGAATCTGGCAAACTACGTGCTAGCATCAGTCCGCGGCTAGCCTTTGACACCGTAACTTTAAAAACATTCGTAAGTCAATGTAGCACACAGATTACCTCCGATTTTTACTCCGGGTCAACTCGTCACTTTGTAGCTTTCAGTCTGCAATTTATTGAAAACTGCAGATTGAAGCGAAGCGACATATTCGAGGATCTATAAATAATAAGAAATGAATGAGGGCGCTCAACCAGTAAGGGGGCATCAAGTGGCTGCCCTCACCTCCCACCCCCTAGACTGCCTACACTCCCCCTGGCGCACAGGTTTCTCGAAGTACGGGACCCGGCCGCGTTTGAAAAAAAAGTAACCCCGTGAGCCAGGGGGAGTGAAGTCAGTCTAGGGGGTGGGGGTGAGGGCAGCCACCTGACGTTGCATCACAATGCCCCCCTTACCGGATGAGCGCCTGAATGAGAAATAAAAACCAAAGAAGGAAAGGAAACTGTTCAGGAAACTTTGTGATGCGATTTTCTACTCAGTATTCAAGCGTAATGTGAGGCTGACTGAATCGACAGCAAAATGTGAAGCTCGTGACGCTACTTCGCGACGTCGCTCTCGTCGGCATCGTCGGTTCTTTCTGAAAACGCTGGAACACCTGAGTGAAATTGATGCGATGATCCAACTATTTTTAAAAATTCAACAACTTTTTTGAACTGACTCAAAGAGGTGCCAAATATCAACAGAACCTTTCAAGCTTGACTTTTCGAAATACCAGAAGTTTGTAACATGGAAATGAACGTATACATAAAAGAGTCTACCACATGAATCATGAATTGCCATAGGCAGTGCAAAGAATAAAACACGAAAACTGCCGTCGGTTCACGGACGGACTCAGTCCAAGACTGATAAGCTGATTGATAAAAGAAAGGCATTGGCCTTCTAGAACGCCCCCATTATTCACTGCAATAAATGGAATAATTACATAGATGCAAGCTGTCTTCATCAGATAGCCATGTAAAAAATCCTGCGAAAGAAAAGGTCAACAGCACTTTCTTGTTATGGTGTGACATTTAGGACCAATTCTTCAGCATTAGATTTTTAACGGTGTAGCAGCGACGAGGCAGCAGAAGAAGATAACATGGTTTGAGAACCAGTAAGTAACAAATAAATAACATGTCAGCAACTGGTGGAGAAGCTGAATCGATTATGCCCATAAGTATGGAGAAACAGAAATTTTCACCGCTTGTAAGAAGAGGGAAAAATGTAGCAACCGTTTGAGACGGTAGGAATGAAAGACCGTTGTCTTTGTTTTCGATCTCAGGCATAAAAACTATTGTTGAAAGATGGCAATATTAACCTTCTAACGCGCAATTTCATTCTCTCCCTATCAAATTGTTAGACTCTCATCAAAATTAGACCTCAGAGCATAAGCCCACGCAATTTAGCATCCGGATCCCAGGTAGATAAGTGTTAAAGGACGAATTCACGATGAAAAAGCAACCCATTTCAAATTAACCTAGGGATGGTGAGTGGTACACGAAAGAAGGAAGAACCATGAGAAACGGCCCAGAACCCGAGAAATGGTACCCCTTCCTTGCCCGTTGATTCGAGCATTGATGCGACTCTCATCGCTGTGCCCTCTTCAACACTACGCTCTCTCAGCTATCTAATCACTCGCCACGTATTGAACTACGGCGAGTGATCAGATGATCGGTGGGCGGAGATCGCCGGACCCGCCAGCTTTGAGGCATGATAGGTCGCCGAGGTCAAATTTTTCCATGCGAATTGCGCGTCAGTTCGCACCCTCAGGAGGTCCGTGGGTCCCTCAACTAGGTCAGTTTCCCTTTCTTCGACCTTCATTCTAATCGTGAATTCCTCCTTTAAATCACATTCTAAGCATATAAATGGGCCACATACTCCAGAGATTCAAAGGAGGTTTCTGCGATAGGACGAGGTTCGAGAGGCGGAAACTTACGTAGCTGAAGAAACAGACCGCCCCCGACACCGCAAGTTCGGCATCGCAAGGGTATCTCCGCATCTAGCAATCGTCTTCTTCGCTGCAATTGACCACGCTATTGCGCGGTACGCCTCCCCCCACCCGCTCTTCCTGCTGACAGGTAGAGTCTACAGCGCGTCGTCTTGTGTCTGACACTCTACCCGTTCAGCAGAGGGAGAGCGTGAGCGTTGAGGGAGGGGCAGCGGTGATGAAGGTTGCATCAATGGCGCAATCGAAAGGCAAGCAAGGGGTCCCATTTCTCGAGTCTAGGCCATTTTTCTTTTCTTCCTTCCTGCATCTGACCATCTCTAACTTAATTTCCATTAGGCTGCCTCTTCACCGTAAAATCCGCCTTTGAGTTCACGATACCGTTAAATCAATTATTTTTTGCATTTGATTTGTTTTTAGGTGCCTTAATCGCTCCAGTTCACATTGTAAACTTCATCACAAAAATTGTGTGAGTGTGTGAGTAGGAGGTCCAAGTTAAAGCTCCGGTTGAAGCAAATTGCTTCATCCACAACTCCACATCTTGCTCTTTCTACTTCCCAGACAACACCGATATCAGTCTAGCGATCCCGCAAACAGGCTTAATCTGATTCCTCTACAAATAAAAATGATGCCTCGATCCAATGTGCCACCTCACTGACATGTTGCAAACACATTTACGACTGACTTATCAGGATGGGGTGACTATTGTTTCTAATATTGGGTGTGCCACCTGTCATTAGTACGGCTATATTGGGTGCTGTGAATCACCTACTGTTCAAAGAAGGTTGTCCCATAATTAGTGACTTTTTTCAGGTATTTTTCAGTTTTAGTTTTTTTTTATCTGAGTGCTTGCTCACCTAAAGATAAACCTCTGTTATCTAAAAAAAATCGCCCAAACATGCGTATCTAGTAGCTGTCGTTTATCTAGAATTTCAGGAGCTGTTGATCCAGCAGTCGGGTTTGAAGACGTCACTTGCATGAGATTTTTTCCTGACAAAGAGCCCATTGAGTTGTCGTTCGCTAGCTTGAGGATAGGGCTACATGGCGGAGCTGGAAGAACTGCTAGCCTGAGAGTCTCTAATTTTTTATGAATATTCTCCGCAAGGTGGGTCGAACGACCTCAGGAAAAAAGCAGACTTTGTCTTGCTTTACTTTCAAATTGAATGCCATTATGCCGTCAACGCTCGCCTTCTTCACTGACCGTGGCATTTAAAGGCAAACTCCGGGATTAAACTGGTGCTAGAGCGCTTCGTAGTGATAGCTTAGCTGCGGAACGACCTGAAAGTGGAAAGGAAAGCAAGAGAAATCTTTGGGAACGCTGAAATTAAGGCCTTAACCTTCAATAAGGTCGGATGTGGTACGATGGCGAGACAGGGCGATCAAAGAAGACAAAATACGCGAGAGAGCACGTCGTTTGAGAGAGCACGCTGATCTCTACATCAATGCACGCTGATCTCACCACATCTCGCGGTGGGTGGGAAGCGTTGGAAGGGTCGATGGTTGCCCGTAAGGATTAGCGCCCTAACCGCGCAATTTTGCGACGAAGCTGGAGTGATCTAGGTAGGTACGGACCTTACAATTTCCCTCGCGGTATCCTTCCTACTAGTCGGGCTAATCCCGGGGTTTGCCTTCAACACATTAGCATCCTAGTAGCATCCTGAGCAGGAAGAGCGTTAGGAAGTGCACTGACCAAAGCCCTTATCACCCCTCCACAAATGACGGCCAATGACGCCATCACAACCGCTCCGCCTTCAAACCATCCACTGTTCTGAATTTGCCTGTGACATTAGAACAGTACTGTTTCTCAAAGAGAGACAATCTCCGTGACACACTTGCTGCTGCGTCTATAGAGGTTGACTTCACAAGCTTTCTAATGCTCTCGATGGCGCTGCCACTTGATATCGCACTATGGGGCTGCTATCACGACAGCTCCTTCCCGAGGAAACAGTCCACATCCATTACAATGGTATGGCCATGTCGAATAAGATAGTGGAGGGAGGGGGAGGGAGCGTAAGAGAAAGGGAGAGGAGGAACAAGGTGAAAACTTAGTCACACACCAAACGCACAGCGTCAGCCAATAAGGAACTAGCCAAAATTCGCAATTCGGACTCAAACGGAGTCCTTCAATCAAAAAATCATTACAACATGTTCCTACAGCGAAGACACCGTATTTATTGAAATGAACGGCGTAATATATCGACAATAAAACACACGCACATATTAGGAACTTTCCAAGTTACCGATGTATATCAATAATGGGCAATCACTACCAATACCTGATTACATATCAATCATACAAATTGAGCTGTTCAATTTTCTGCTAATTAATTAATTGGTGCTATGTCGCACCTGTTCTAGATAGTTCACATAGTATATCTCACTTGGTGACCATTAATTCCGTGGAAGGCATCTCAGAGGAGGGGGAGGAGACATAAGAAAAGCCACGTTCGAACAAGAAGGCAACTCAAGATGTGAAATAAACGTAGCATAGAAGCCTATCCGAGCATGAAATCGACACACATCGATCGTTCGTTGAGTCTAAGGAGAGGAAAGAGGGAACTAGTCTAATGTAGAGAGCCTGGCGCTAAGTAGACTCAAGTCCACCGGATGAAGAGAACAAACCGGTGACCAGACTTACTATTATTACATGTAATTACACCTTGAAACCATCTAACTGAGTCTTAGGAACGCCAAATGTTCTGCTCATCATGTCCTTTTGTTCCTGTTCCTGAAGATGGGTGTACTTGTTACCGGTAGCCGGTGAGGCAGACGGGTGACGACCAGTGTAGCGGATTTTGCGGTTTTCAGACTGCATGAGACTGTTGATACGCGGCTGCGCAAAGCCCCATGCGCCCATGTTCTTGTGCTCCTGAAATCATTACCATAAGAATATGCTCACTCATCAGCTACTGAACGCCTTGCAAATGCATTTCCCATGCAGGCCAGGGTGGTATGAGCGCGGGTACATATGTGATAAGTAGGTGAATCACCGCGAACAGTAGAGCCATATGATTCTCATTGATGGTCATTCAAAAAAATTCGGTTTTCAAAAAAAGCTCTTCAAATGTAGCACTGTTCATCCTCTGCATATTTATCTCTTCAAAAGGCAAGTCATGTCCTTTGTCAACACGACTTCTTATTTGGAAGAGCCATTCTAAAATTAGGCCGATGTCAGACTTTGCGAATCGCGCGATTCGCTAGCGTCTGCGGTCGCGTCGCGGCCAGTGAATCACTCAATTGGCTGGTACCGCAACGCGACCGCGGACGCTAGCGAATCGCGCGATTCGCAAAGTCTGACATCAGCCTTTCATTTCCGCAAAGATGACATACGGCACGTGGCCGCAATACATGGCAAACGCGCGCGATTGCGCAATGTCACTCGATCACCTCGGGCAAAACTATAGACCGAAACGGAACACAAAAATGTAACAAACCTCTTGCGACCAAATCAGCTCTGCTCCTGGATATTTCTGGCATTCAGCTTGAACTAAATCGTACGGGAACGGAGAGATTCTGTTCTATACGACAAATGGCAACTGAATCCTCCTTTCCGACATGCTTCCTGGCCATTACCAGATCGTAGTAGACCTTTCCTAAAACAGCCACATCATTCCATCCACTAATTCGCTAGTATTACTGTAAGATGTGCATTTCTGGTTGTGTGAGTAGTTATTATCTGCGAAGATGTAC